CGAACCCGTGTCCCCTGCATCGGCAGGCGTACTCCCAACCACTGCGCCACCAGGGAAGCCCTAAACTTTATTTTTAACATGGACATTCTTTACCTCTGGTCAATGCACCCTTTTCTTTAATGATTACAGCAGATGTACCATGTGTTTTTGGTAGGCCACAAACAGGCTGTTTTAGCATAAAAAAGTCAAATCATGTATAAGCCAGAATGACTTCCCCATCCCTCAATATGTGAATATAAAATGCACTCATTCTTTTTTTTTGCCAGTTCTTATTATTTTTACTCATTCTCGACTTAACGAGTAGCCAGGTAGGCAATGTTTAATGTTTTTTGGTTTTTTTTTTAAGTATGCTCATGGTAGGCAGACTAATGCCTTCCCCTCCCCTCAAGATGTCCAGGACCTAATCTCCGGAGTATGTAAATATGTTATGTTACAGGGCAAGGGGGAATTAAAATGATAGATGGAATTACGGTTGATAATCAGCTGACCTTGAAATGTGGAGATCATTCTGGATTATCTGAGGTTGGGAGGGTGAGATGAAACAATGTAATCACAAGGGTCCTTAAAAGTGGAAGAGGGAGGCGGTAGAGATGGAGAGAGATTGAGTCAGGGTGATGCAATGTGAGAAAGAAGTTGCCGTTGCTGGCTTTGAAGACAGAAAGACCCACAAACCAAGGAATGCTGGCAGACTGTGGAGTCTGGAAAGGCAAGGGAACCCATTCTTCTCCAGAGTCCCCAGAAGCGACACAGTCCTGCTGATGCCTTGATTTTTTTTTTAATATTTAAATATTTATTTGGCTGCACCGGGTCTTAGTTACGGCACACAGTATTTTCGTTGCTACATGCGGGATCTTTAGTTGTGGCGTGTGAACTCTTAGTTGTGGCATGTGGGATTTAGTTCCCTGACCAGGGGTCGAACCCGGGCCCCCTGCATTGTGAGCGCAGGGTCTTAGCCACTGGACCACCAGGGAAGTCCCGATTCCTTGATTTTAGAGTAGCTGACACAAGTGTCAGACTTATGACATCCAGAAATTTTTAATAATTTGTGTTATGTTTCTCTGCTTTCAAGGGCTCATGTGATTATACTGGACTCACCCAGACAATCCTGGATATTCTTCCCGTCTCAAGATCCTTAACTTAATCCATAAAGCGGGCCATGTCAGGTAACATAGTAACAGGTTCTGAGGATTAGGATGTGGGAATCTTTGGAGGACCATGATTCTGCCTACCACATTGAACTCACATGGCTATTAGATATTTTAAAACAGGTGCTGGGACTTGCCTGGGGGTCCAGTGGTTAAGACTCTGCGCTTCCACTGCAGGGCACACGGGTTTGATCCCTGGTCAGGGAAGTAAGATCCTGCATGCCGTACAGCGCGGCCAAAACGATAAAATAAAACAGGTGCCAAAATTATAAAAGCAGAAGTTTCCACAAAGAAATCTGAAGCTCTAGCTCCTCCACACACAATTCAGGTTTCCTGAATGCCCACCTGCAAGCTTGCCTCCAAGCCTTTGCACATGCTGGTCCCTCTGAAACAGGAGGGAAGGGGGCAGGGCACAACCTTTAAAAACATGACACACATAGGACATGACAAAAACTGCTTAGAACCAACTAGGTCCAAGATGGCAGAAGATTCAACTTCCAGTGGACCTTGAGACTCATTTTATGCTCGCTGTAATACGTTAGCTAAATGACACACCCACCAGTGCCATGACAGTTCTGAGGCCAACTATAAAATGTCAAAAAGTGGGTGGCGGCCCAATTCCTGGAAATCTCCACCCCTTCCCCCGAAATACTTGGAATAATCCTCCCACTCATTAGTCTATGAAATTACCCGGCCCATAAAAACTAACCACCCCATATTTCGGGGCCTCTCACCTTCTGAGATGGCCCACACTCTGTGGAGTGTGTTTCTCCCAAGGCTGTTCTCGCCTTTTGAGACAGACCGCATTCTATCTATGGAATATGTATCTGTCTAAATAAATCCATTTCTTACCTATCACTTTGCATCTCACTGAATTCTTTCTGCGATGAGACATAAAGAACCTGAGCTTCATTAAGTCCTGAGACCAGGTGTGTCATCTCAGTTAAAATACGGTGGGTTGGGGCTTCCCTGGTGGCGCAGTGGTTAAGAATCTGTCTGCCAATGCAGGAAACACGAGTTCGAGCCCTGGTCCGGAAAGATCCTACATGCCGCGGAGCAACTAAGCCCGTGCGCCACAACTACTGAGCCTCCGCTCTAGAGCCCGTGAGCCACAACTACTGAGCCCACGCGCGTAGAGCCCATGCTCCCCAACAAAAGAAGCCACCGCAATGAGAAGCCCACGCACCACAACGAAGAGTAGCCCCACTCACCGCAACTAGAGAAAGCCCGCGCCCAGCAACAAAGACCCAACACAGCCAAAAATAAATAAATACAAGAAATAAATTTAAAAAAATAATACTGGGGGTTGGGACTTCCCTGGCGGTCCACTGGTTAAGATTCCACGCTTTCACTACAGGGGGTGTGGCTTTGATCCCACGTTGGGGAACTAGGATCCCCATGCCGGGCGGCACAGCCGAAAAAAGAGACCGTGGGTTCAAGTCCCAATCTGGGTTTAGGCTGGCTTCTAGTCTCGGCACGTGGGTTCAAGGTGAACCTCACGTGGGATTTGAACATTCTTTTTTTTTTTTTTTTTAATATTTTTAATTATTTAATTATTTGTCTGTGCCGGCCCTTAGTCATTGCTGCATGCAGGATCTTCGTTGTGGCATGCGGGATCTTTAGTTACGGCATGTGGGCTCTTAGCTGCAGCATGTGGGACCTAGTTCCCTGACCAGGGATGAACCCAGGCCCCCTGAATCGGGAGGATGGAGTCTTAACCACTAGACCACCAGGGAGGGACTCAAACATTCTTTGTTTACTGGAATGGCAAGAAACATTCCCTAACCACAAATACATTAGATTTTCTTCATTTATTTCAAAGTGAGCAAAATTTACACACAAATACTCCAAAATTGATGTTATCTCTTGCATTACAAGGATTTACAAAGAGTAGTGATACTGCAGACAGAGCTGATATAGATGTTATAACAATCACTTATAACTTACCTAGGGAGGTAAGCAGGGAGGGAGACAGAGTGAATGAACTCGACACAGATTGGTTCCATATTAACTTACAATAGCCCTATGCGGCGGGTACCATTACTGTCCCATTTTGTGTATGAGGACTAAGAACCCTGAAAAAAAGACCCTCAGAGTGAAACAACAAAGAGAAAACCTTTTACTCTCTGCCAGCAGCAGTCAGTCTGCATTGAGACTACCCTTCCGTTTGATTTTATGTGTCGTACCCATGTAGGTTGCCCCCTCCCCCCCAAATAAAGGAACAGGGAATCAACACCATGACGTGCGGGGCAAGGCAAGACCTAGACGACCTAGGGACAAGTGAGTCGGGGAAAGTACTTTTTGCGCGGTCCAGTTGAGCCAAGAAAACAGATGGTGGAGGAAGTCTCAGAATGATTTCAGACGCTAGAAAAACAGGTTAGGGCCTTGCGACTCGGCGTGGGGGTTGTTCCCAACCATAACAGGACGTTGACCCGGGGGGGTCACACCCAGCCCTGGTGCGAGGCCCCAGGAGGCGGGGATGGGATGGGACCCCGGTCGTGCTCCGTCCCCGGTGCTGCGCTGGGCGGGGGTGGGAGGTGGGGGAGGCCCTCCCGGGCCCTCAGCAATTCAGCGTTCAACCGCAGCGCTGACGACCCCGCCAGCACCCCACCCCACGCTCAGCCCGGAAGCCTGGAGCTGCTGCAGACTCCACTTCCCAGCGGCTCCGGCGGCGGCGCTTGGCCGTTGCCGTGGAGACCAGGCGCGCTCCGCCTACCGCGCCGGCAGCCAGAAGGCTCTGCGCGTGCGTCCGCAGCGCGCCACGGGCCAATGAGGGCTCGCGAGATTGGACTTCTGGCGTCCGGGACTGTCACTTGGCTGCCGGCGTCGGGCCACGCCGGTGACGGCCGGAGAGCGCCGGGTCGGGGCCGGTTTTGCGGAAGGGTCTGGAGACCCGAGGTGCGGGCAGCGAGGACGTGCGGGCAGCGAGGACGTGCAGGCGGAGATCCGAGGCACGGGCAGCCGAGCCCGGGGGCCCACGGCCAGTCCCCGGCCTCAGTTTCCCGGGGTGCGGCGTGTGCGCCCCCCAAGCCACGTGCTCCGGCCTCCACGCCGTCCCGACGCGGCGCCCTTGACGGATTGGGAGAGAGGCCCGGAGCCTGAGCGCCCGCACCTTTCTGCAGGTTCCGATGGCGGCGGCGCAGACAGACCCGGCGCAGGTGAGTAGCGGGAACCCCAGGCCCCCACCCACCCGGATGCCTCCTTCATGGACCCGAGCCCCGATCGAGGGAGGCACTTTACCTGGACGTCTTGTCTTCCCCTCGCGCTTCGTCCTAGGCCCTGCTGTCCCGGCCGGTTGGGAGTGCACGCGTGGGATCCCCACTTCTGGCAGCTAAGGGGGTGAGGTGTAGAAGGAAGTTCCAAGGGGAGGGTCCCCCGTCTGCAAAACCTGGGAGGGAAGCCTGTGTGTAGGCGCTTCCGGAACTGAGCTGCTCGGCGGGGAGAAGATATGTATGTCTGAAAGGGCAGGCCGAGGAGTTAAGACTATCCCGAGGGCACCGGGAGACTGGACATGCTTTAAGTTAACGATTTTTTAGGGTATTCCACCTATTGTTGAGTGGAGAACAGAAGCAGAGGGGCGTGGCGGTGTGCAGGGAGGAGGCTACTGTCACAGTCCGGGCAGTGCGGGTGCGAAAAGCCGTTGGATTCTGGATAGATCTGCTGGTGCATCAAGTGCGGGGTGTGCGGGAGTGTCCTGCGTGAAGGGCCAGTCTAAGGTTTTCCGCCGGAGCACCCAAAAGAATGGAGCTGCCTAGCACTTTCACAGGTCCTCCCCCAGGCAGTGGGGCCAGGATTTGGTAGCTGGTGCTGAAATTGAAAACCCTTGATTGTATCCTTGCCCTGGGGCTGTGCCAGTGGCAACTGTCACTCAATGGGACAGAGAAAAAAAGAACGGAGCTGCTGTAGACAAAATTAGGAATTTGAAGGGAAAGTAGATTTCAGGGGGAAATTGGGAAGAGTCTGTGCTGTCTCAGAGTGGAGGTGTCACATGGACCTGGAATTGTAGATGTCCAAGGACAGAGTCCTGATGTTCTGAGTGAGGTAGAGCCTAGGAATCAAACTTAGGAAGAGGACATCTCACAGACTCAGCCAGGGATAGGCATGGGCAGTTAGGGCTCTAGGGAGATGAGGAATGGCTGGCAGCCCCTGGGGCTCTCAGGGGAAGTCTGGCAGGTGGCTGAGGGAAGGGAAGGTGGCAGCCACCTGAGGAGGAAATAGAGGGGGCCTGGCTATGGAGGGAGGAGGGAAATGGCTTCTTGTGTGCCCACCAGATCCTTGGCGCCACCCCTGTGGCAACTGGAGGGGATCAGCCAGTCCTTCAGGTTCAAAGAGCAACCTTAAAATGTCAGGCAAGTTCAGCAGGAGAGGGCATCCCTACAGGGATGGGCATGTCCTGGGGGCTCTGCAGCTGGGACTTGTACAGTTACTTATGCAAGAGCAATGAGAGCACCTTTGGGGAGGCTCAGCTTGTGCAAAGGCTGGAGAATGAGTGGACGCCAGGGGCTGGCCTTGGTGTGGCAGAAGGCCAGGGGCTTCCTCTGGCTGCCTTGTGTAGAGTGGCCAGGTCGGGTTAAAGAGGCATCTACGGCCTAGATGGGGAAGGTGGAGGGGAGGGGTCCAGACAGGTGAGGGAAGTCCCATCTGCAGAGCCTTGCAGGAGGAGGGTGAGCATCTGAGGGACACGAGCGGAGGTAGCCTTTGGGGCACGGAGCTGGGTCTTGGTTCACACAGCTATAGCTTAGATCATGTCCATCTTCCAACTCTCTTAGGGCCTAATGGCCTTTGAAGACGTGGCTGTGTACTTCTCTCGGGAGGAATGGGGGCTCCTGGATGCAGCCCAGAGGGCTCTGTACCGCCGTGTGATGCTGGAGAACTTCACGCTCCTGGCCTCGCTGGGTAAGCCCTGGGTCCTCCATGGGGAGCTCATGTGTTGCCAGGCTAGGCTGCCAGCACTAACCTCTTACCACCCGGCAGCCTGTGAGCAGCCACATGTCCTCTGGCTGAGTGCCCCTGTTAGCTGTGGTGCCTCTGTGCTCAGTCCCCTTCTGGTGCTGCCAACACGGTTCTCCTCACAGGAACCATCGAGCTGCTCTGATGTGCTCTGTGATGTGACCTCGGGTATCCTTGGTTGCACAGATGATGCCGTCCGTGGCCCACGAAGCCCTGACTCCTGCCATCTGCCGGGGGTGACCCCTCACTTGCTTGTCTTCTCTCACAGGACTCTCTGTCTCCCGACCCCACGTGGTCATCCAGCTTGAGTGTGGCAAGGAGCCCTGGGTTCTCAATGGGACAGATGTGACCCTGGCCAGGAATGCCCAGAGGAGGCCGAGCCCTGGTGAGTGGGGGCTCAGGGGTGTGAGCTTGGGGCCAACCTATGGCCAAGCTTCTGTCCACCTTCCCTCCTGGATGCTCTCCTCTCCAGCTTCCCACCCGACCGACTCCTTTCACCATCAGCCTCTTCTGGAGGCTCCGGCTTTGGCTGCCCTTGAAGGGGAGCTCCAAGGGCCACCCCCAGGCCGTGGTGAGACCTGCTCAGAATCCCACCCTCAGCCAGTCTGTGTGGCCTCAGACCCTGCCCGTCTTCCCTCACCACCTCATCTGTGGGGCCGTTTGTTCACGTGTTCATCGTTGAGCACTTGCAGTGGCCAGTCCCGTTCGCGGCACTGGGGACACAGCCTTGCCCAGACCGCTCCTGGTCCTGCCTTTGTGGGGTTGACCCTGCTAGGGGAGAGGCAGTCAGCAAGCAGAGCTGGTGAGTAAAATCTGTTCCATCAGGTAGCCATCAGTGTAAGGGGCAAAGCCACCTGGGGAGTGCCCTGGGGACGGGCTCCGTGCAGGAAGGGAGTCTGGCCCCAGCTCCTCTCCCCAGCCTCCACGGCCGGTCCCGCGGGCCCCTTTGCTTACCCACGCGGCCTGTCTGGGTGACCCAGGCGTCCACCGTTTCTGGTCCTTCAGCTTCCCCTCATCTGGCAGAGGACAGAGATGTTTCTGGAGAAGCAGCATTGCCAGGGGCCTTCCAGGACGGCCCCCCTCTGGCACCGACTAGGGTTCTCCCCAGTGCTGGTGCCTCTGAGCGTGGGAAAAGCCTGGAGGGTCGGCGCGGCGTGTCCCCCTCTCGGGAGAGGAAACCCACAGGGGTGTCTGTGATCTACTGGGAAAGCGGCGAGGCCAGCGTCAGCCTGCGGCTGACCTCTTCTCTGCGGGCCCCACCCGGGGAGAAGGCCCTCGCAGACCACCCTGCACCAGGCAAGCAGCCGAGGGCATCGGAGCGGCAGAAGCTGTACGCATGTGAGGCCCCGGGGAGAGCCTTCCCGGGCGCCCCAGAGGCTCAGGGGGACCGAGGAATGGGTGAGGCTTGGCGCGAGCCTCAGAGACTGCTCGCTGTCTCAGAGCCCCCGACCTGGGCCGAACTGGGCGAGGCCCTGCACGCTGGACCCGGCCTCCTCTCTGGGGAGAAGCCCTTCGAGTGCAGGGCATGCAGCAAGGTGTTCGTGAAGAGCTCGGACCTGCTGAAGCACCTGCGCACCCACACCGGGGAGCGGCCGTACGAGTGCGCGCAGTGCGGCAAGGCCTTCAGCCAGACGTCGCACCTGACGCAGCACCAGCGCATCCACAGCGGAGAGACGCCCTACACGTGCCCGGCCTGCGGCCAGGCCTTCCGGCACAGCTCCTCGCTGGTGCGGCACCAGCGCATCCACACGGCCGAGAAGGCCTTCCGCTGTGCCGAGTGCGGCAAGGCCTTCAGCCACCGCTCCAACCTCAGCCAGCACCGCAAGATCCACGCCGGGGGCCGGCCCTACGCGTGCACGCGCTGTGGCCGCAGCTTCTGCCGCAACTCGCACCTGATCCAGCACGAGCGCACGCACACCGGCGAGAAGCCCTTCGCCTGCGCGCTCTGCGGGGCCGCCTTCAGCCAGGGCTCGTCGCTCTTCAAGCACCGGCGCGTGCACACCGGCGAGAAGCCCTTCGCCTGCGCGCAGTGCGGCCGCGCCTTCAGCCACAGCTCCAACCTCAGGCAGCACCGGCTGCTGCACACGGGAGAGCGGCCTTTCCGTTGCTCGGACTGCGGCAAGGCCTTCGCCAAGGGCGCCGTGCTGCTCAGCCACCGACGCATCCACACGGGCGAGAAGCCCTTCGTGTGCGCACAGTGCGGCCGCGCCTTCCGCGAGCGCCCGGCCCTCTTCCACCACCAGAGGCTCCACACCGGTGAGAAGCCAGCGCGGCGGCCCCGGGCCAGCTCGCTCCCCCAGGCCAGGCCTCCTTCGGGGGCATCGTGTGAAGGCACACTGGGGAGGGAAGCCGGGCCCACTGCTGCCTCGGGCCCAGCCACGGTTCCGAAGACGGCTGAGCCTTGAGGTCGCAGCCCCGACCTTCCCCGGCCTGTTGTGAGTCCCTTCCATGGGTACGGGGCCCCGCCCTCTGCAGAGCCACGCTGTGGAGAAGCTCTGCGCGTGCACTGCCATTCCCCCTGCACGTGGTGACAAGATTTGCCTCTTGTCAGCCACAGCTCACTCCTCCAGCCCCAAGCGGTCACGCTGAACAAAGGCCAGGGGGAGGCCAGCATGGTGCTGCCAGTTCGCCCATATTTTGACTGTGCGCGCGAACGGGAAGCGCTGGGGCGGGGTGGAGGTGGTCCTGAGAACTTTCTGAGGTTTACACCCAACCTGCAGGGTCTGTGTGGAACCTCTCCACCCCTACCCCCAGCGTATTCCCCCAGCCCTCAGTTCATCCAGGGCTTCCTGGGAACAGGCCCAGAAGACAGGAAGTCATGGGGGAGGCAGGTACTGGCTTCGGACAAGTGGCTGGGCTCTGAGCCTCAGCTCCCTCCTCTAGGGAAGAGAAAAGATTCAGCCCTGCAGAGGGTATTTGCAGCACCCTGACAGGCAGCATCTTGATAAGGGCCAATATGTGCCAACCGCCAGCCCCCGTTCTGAGCGCTGCACAGTTTCTCCTGACAGCTCTGTGAGGTGGCTGCTGTTAGTATCCCCACTTCTCAGATGAGGAGACTGAGGCACAGAGAGGGGACGTGAGTTGCACAACAGCAGGGCCACTGGCCCAGCATCCAGAGAGCTCACCACTTTACCCCACACTTAGCCTGCCAGCTCTGAGGGCTGGGTGAAGCCTGCGTGGCTTGCGGCTCACGGCGGACCCTCAGGAGGTGGAGGAGGGTGGGGGCGGGAAGTCCCCGGGTGAAGGACGGAGATTGAGAGTGATGGTTCCCCAGCTGTGCTGGTGCATTCAGAGTGTGGTCCAAGCCTCAGCTTCGGCCGTGTCCTGTTGTTACCGAAGTCAGCGATACAGGAGCCTTTCCATCCCCACTGCCTTGACTGGAGGTGACCGTAACAACAGGTGCAGAGGAGACAAGATGGGGCTGCTTGATTCTCTGGGGTCCAATGGCCACGTGCCTGCCATTACCTAAGGCTGTGTGTGGCGCCCTCCCAAGATCTCCTCCCCAGTGTGACATAACCCACAGGGTGGGGACACTGAGGCAGACAAGTTAGGTGGGGGCCTGGTTGGCTTCTTGTGGCCTTCAACAGACAAGCCCCATCTCCACCTTAGGCCTCACCCGCAGGGAAGTTAATGGTGTTTTTACTGGGGGTAAAAAAAGACTAGAACTTACAGCTTGGAATGGATGGACACTGTAAATTCTTGCACGGCACTGTGTAGGTCCACAGCCTCAGCCTCCAGGTCATGGTTCAGAAGGTTTTAACAATACAGAGTCCAGAGAGGCTCTCTAATAAAGGTTTCTTTTTAAAAACGTGAGTGGTAGCAGCCTGAAACCGGTTTCATCCCAGCACGATGCAAACGTGTCATCACACAGCTGCAGGGACTTGGCTTCAACCCTGGTCCCTTTGAGAGGCCTCAGGGTAGAGGTGCAGCCTGTCTGCGGCCCACCGAAGGTCTGTGTCCCCTTGGCAGCCAAGAGACATGGACAGGGTGGGGCTGCCCCAAGCAGCAGCTCTGTTGGGACATGGGCCTTTGTGGATCCAGGCCTTGGAATCTGAGGCAGGGGGCACACGTGGAGACCCGAAAGGTTGACCCCAACCCAGTGGGTGCTCCCGTTCAATCACCTCAAAGACCTCGCAGGTATCTGCCATTGCCAAAGAACAGAGACGTGACACCCCCAACTCTCCACCTGCCAGCAGGGTTCCGCCCCTGAAACCTCCCAAGTTCCTGCAAGGAAAGGAGACAAGGGGTAGGGAGAAGAGTCACACAGGGCCAGCTCCCCAAAACTCCTCAAGGGCAGGTCCTCTGAGCCATTGTCCACCCCTCTTGGGGCCCATCCTCTCTCTGAGCTGGTCCATGCCCTGGCCTCGCCCTATTTCATCTTCCCCCAGGCTGGCCCCCATGAGGGATTCTTGAGCAGCTCACTTCAGGTCAGTGTGGGTGGCTGTGAGATGCAGACAAACGCCACAGAGCTTACAGAAGGCTATTGTAGGGAGCCCGTGGGGTTCAGGAGCAAAGGAGTGTTGAACATCAAGTGGACGCCCAGAGAGCCACTTGCAACCTTTTTCGCGCCTTGGACAGAAGCTGGGCCTGGTGCTCTATTCTGTCTCCCCACCAGCCTCCTCCCTGCTTCACTGAGCCTTTCCTGCCTGTGTGCTTGGCCCCTACTATCCCTCCTTTCCTCCACCCTCCTCGAGTCCACCCTCCCAGCACCAGGGGTGGTCAGAGGCTCCAGCCCTGTTCTTGTGGGAATAGCAACCATGAGCACCCACCTTCCCCCATGTCTTGGCCCCTAAGTTGTCCTCCCCCAAACCTTTTTGATCATCTTGGGCCACGTCCTGCCAGGCTGACCCTTCCACTCAACTGTGAATGGGTCATGACTATAAAAGGTATCCGTGGGCTTTCTGGGTCAAGACGATGGACTGAACACATACATCTCACTTGGTCCAGAAGCCCACTGAAACCACAGAGAGCCCTTAAAGCAAACCCTTGAGAATTCCCTGGCGGTCCAGTGGTTAGGACTCTGCGCTTCCACTGCAGGGGGCTCGGGTTCGATCCCTGGTTGGGGAGCTAGGATTCCGCAAGCGGCACGGCCAATAAATTAACTATAACACAAACCCACGAATATGAGGATGGTAAAAGAGGAGGCAGCGGCATTCTGAAGCTAGAAGAAGTTGGGGGTGGGAGAGCTGTCACTGATTTGGGGAAAGCCAAATGCTGAGTTGGCGCTGGCGGAAGTGGAAGGAGATTCCATCAGGCTTACGCTGCAGAATTCCAGAAGGCTTGAAAACCAGCAGCCCCCTGGAAGGGGAGACCCAAAACAAAGATGACTGAGTGGGAGCTCCTGGAGAAGCTGTTAGAGCTCCAGCTCTTCCCACAGGGTAGATGGTGGAAGAGTCCTTTCTGGGGAATCCGAACAGTCCCAGAGAAAAAATCAAATCGCTGGTAGCCAGGGATTCCTAGGTATTAGAAGAAACTCAAACAGGCAGGCAGATGCACCTTAGGATCAATAAATAAGTCATTGTTCAGCCATTTGATGTGTGGAAGCAAAACACCCTGACCCACAGTCAGATTTTAAAAACACTAACATCGTCTACTGATATATACTAGTTCTGGTCCCCAAAGTAAATAAAAGGCTGAACACGTCCCATAATTCTGGACAAAAACCTCCAGCCCTCACTTTGCAGTACTGATCTAGCTGAAGGCATGTCTGAGACTCTGAGGGTAGAAATCATGGAACAGTTTCTTCATCAGGAGATGGGTGCCTGCTGTCCCCGCATATCTGCAGGGCGCTCAGCAGTGGTCGAATGAAGGACCCCAGCACCATCCTCGCTGGAGAAATTCCCGGGGATGGCGGAGAAAGCCCGTGGGTTAGGCCAGCCTTCCCGGTAGGTCCCTGCTTCCTCCTAGGACCTCGGGCCGTTGTCTTGGAAACAGCTGGAGCAGGTTGGTTATGCTCCAGGGGTTACCAAGGCGTCCGCCGGGCGACCAGAAAGAAGCCTCAGGTAGGGCTCTGGGGGAGGAGCCTAGGCGCAGCGCCAACCCTGATTGACCGAAAGGTCACGCTCCTCCCCATCCGTCACCTCCTGCCAATAGGCGCCGGGCCTGCTGTGCACATGCGCAGGATTCGAAGGTCCCGTACGTCTCCGCCGTTGGTGAGTCTTAGGGTGCGATACAAAGGAAGAGCGGCTGCCGGGGAGGGGAGGGAGTCCCCCAAACCCTGCGACTCTGCAGATTCCTCTCGGAGGGATGGGGCGCCTCTCAGTCGTGAGAGGCCTCCGAAAATGATCATCTACTGGCGGAGGCCGCGCCTGTCCCTGTTTGCTGAGGCTCATGGGAAATGTAGTCCGAAGGGAGGGGGTGGTGCTGCCTTCGGAGCAGACGTGTGATTGGCCAGAGCGGCGTCGCCAGGGCAACGCGCGAGGGGCTGACCGCTGGGTCCGGGGAGAGGCGCGCGGGACCGCGTGGGCCCACTTACCCGAAGCGGCCTCGGGTGGCCGAGGTGAGCACCGGCCGGCTGGGTGGGCGTGGCCTTTCCACTACCTCCCGACGTGCCCCACCTCCGAGCCTTCTCCCGGGCCCCTCCTCCCTTCCGCAGCCCCGTTCCTCTCCTTCGGGAAGACCTGCCCCCCTTTCCTCTGTGGAAGGCGGACTCCAGGAGTCAGACCTAGTCCAGCCTATCGGACAGGCCCCCCCACCCCCAAAGTGGGCGTGTTTCACTCCAGAGCCTCTGCAGGGCCGGGACACAGTTGCCCGTCCACCGCTCCACACAACTCGTGATTCCGTTTTGCTTTGATTCTGCGTTTCACATGCACGGTCCATACCGTGTGAATCATGCACAGCTCTCCGCGGTCAGCGAGCACGGTGTCTCGGGGTCCACATCAGCCCTTGCCTCGAGCCATGGCGCAAGCCAGCCCCTCAGGGTGCCCCACTTGGGTCAGCGTGTCCCGGAGATGGTGGGGACAGGCAGCCTGGCCCCAGTTCTCACCCTGGATCACGGCCCCACCGCCTCCCTGGCTAACCCCTTTCCCCGCCGCGGGGGCACCTGCCGGGGCTCCTCAGCCTGACCCTGAAAGCCTGTGCTAACTCCTCTTGCCTGCGCTCCAGAATCATCTCCCGACAGACAGTTCCCTGCAGTTTCCTGGAAGCTCCACTGGCAACTTGCCTCCAAGTGTCGGTTCCTTCTGCTCTCAGTTCCAGCTCCTGCGACCCCTCCCTCCATGAAGCTTTCCCCAATTCAGCCGCAAGCATCCCCACACCACGGTCCTCTCTGTCACAGCCTCAGCCCCCTGGGCTGGGCCTCTCTGCACAGTGCCTTACCCTGGCTGTGGCCTTGTGGCTGGCACCCTGACCCCTCCTTTCCTGCAGGTCCCCCTTGGTGGCTCCAAGAAGACTCCCTGCACAACAATGCCATCCCCACTGGGCCCCCCGAGTCTGCCCTCTGTGGACCCCGAGGCCACCCTGGAGGATCCTGAGGCAGCACGCCAGCGCTTCCGGGGCTTCTGCTACCAGGAGGTGGCCGGTCCCCGCGAGGCCTTGGCCCAGCTCCGGGAGCTCTGCCGCCAGTGGCTGCGGCCCGAGGTGCACTCCAAGGAGCAGATGCTGGAGCTGCTGGTGCTGGAGCAGTTCCTGGGCGCGCTGCCCCCTGAGATCCAGGCCTGGGTGCGGGGACAGCAGCCAGGCAGCCCTGAGGAGGCCACTGTCCTGGTCGAGGGCCTGCGGCATGACCCTGGGCAGCTGCTGGGCTGGGTGAGTGTGGTGGTGTTGGCTTCTTGGAGGGACAGAGTGAGAGTAGCGCCCCGATGACTTGCCTCTCCCCCTCAGATTACAGCACGTGTCCTGAAGCAAGCGGTGCTCCCAGCCACACAGAACACAGAGGAGTCTGTGGGGAGCTCCCACCCTTCAGGGACAGTGGAGCCCCTAAAGGCAGCCTCTTGGGAGGGGTCCAAGGATGCCCAGTTGGAGGGGAACGCCCAGCTCAGCTGCAGCGTGAAGGAGGAGCCTGATGGCTACGGGCAGGAGACAGGTGAGAGCGGGGGTGCGCGAGGGCTGGGGCCTCCTTGAGAGAGTGCAAACGTCCCCAGCTAGGGCGGGGAACCCAGGTGAGATTGTGCTGGAGCTGGGGGCTCCTGGAGGGAGTGCGGGTGTGCCCCCCTGGGAGCGGGACCCGCAGGGACTGCAGACTGCAGAGCGGGGTGCCCGGGAGGCCGGAGGGAAGGGCTGGCTGCCTGCCTGCTTGCTATGTGCCTGGTACACACAGAGGACTCCTCCCTGCTGCCGAGGAGGGCCCAGGCTGCGACGCCAGCGCCAGCTCCTCGCCTGCTCTGGCTCACGTGGGAGCCCCTGACCCCTGTCTGCCTTGCTTCCTAGCACCGTCCAGCCCCCCACATCCAGCCCGGTCCCATGAGGGGCCCGCTGAACAACAGGAACTGACCTCCGTGCCCTTTCAGCCACCCAGGATTCAGGTGAGCAGCCCCTGGTGACAGGTGCAGGCCCACAGTGGGAGGAGAGTGTCCTGCCAGTTGTCCAGGCTCCTTGGCCAGCACTTCTTGTGCTCTTTGCTCCCCCTAAGTGGAGTTGGTATCAGGGTACCCCCTGCAGGTCCTGGGGGGCAGGGGGACAGACCAGTGCTTGGAAAGGATTTTGGCCTCAGGTAACTGGGATTCTGGTTTAGAGTGATTGGAACTGGCAGGGGTTGGCTTCCCACTTACAGAGAAGCCAGTTAGGGTGTTGACAGCTCCCAGCAGTTCTGAGCTGGCACCTGGGGAGGGGACAGGATGACCAGGAAAGCCTGAGTGCCACCCAGCAGTCTGGCCTCTCCTGCACACCTGAGATCAGAGTGGAGACAATCTTCCCAGGAAATGCCCGCAGCTCCCCCTCTGCCCGGGCTTTTCGCCAAGGCCAACCAGCCCTCAGCTGCGACCAGCTGGGCATGGAAGCCCCTGCCACCCAGAGGGCTTGGTTCCTGAGTGTGGGCAGCAGGGGTCTTGTCCTCTCCCAGCGACACTTCCTAATCCACTCCACACTGAGAAGTCGCCCAGGAGCCAGCCGCAGCCTGAAGGCCATGGTTGCTTCCACCCCCGGCACCCAGGAGCCAGCCCAGCCATGTCCTGAGTGGGAGGCTGTGCCTGGCCCTCTGCGGCACCTGCCTCCCTGCAGCCCGGTCCCCACAGCCAGGGATGCTGAGGCCCGTGGCATTTCCCCAAGGAGGATCTCCATTACTCTTGAAACCAGAGGCCTGGGAGAGGTGCTTGGGGTCCCTGCATTCCCCTGGCCTTTTGCTTTCGGTGCAGCACACACTGTTCAAGGCCCATCCTTGATGGGTCCTCAGCTTCCATCTGTGCGTCCAGAACATGGGGTGGGGCAGCTGAGGGGGACTGGTGCATCCCCCAGGTGAGCCAGAAGGCAGCTCCCTTCCCGGCCCTGCATCCCCAGCACTGACAGGTTCCCATCTCAGCTTCCTCTTTAGCCCCACCCCCAGGCAGGTGAGGGTGCTTTACCTGCCGCTCCCCAGGTGATTAACAAGGCTGGGCCCATGGGATGGGCCGGGTGGGGTGCGGGGTAGACGGGCCTTCTGTGGGTGATGGGCCGCGTCACTGCAGGAGGAGTGGGGGCTCCTGGACCGGTCACAGAAGGAGGTGTACTGGGACGCGATGCTGCAGAAGTACGGCACGGTGGTCTCCCTGGGTGAGGACCCCTCTCCTCCGGGTCCTTGCGCGCACCTTGCCTCCCGGCGCTTCCCAATCCGCACCCTGGCCACCCGCCGGGGCCCCCACCCCTGTCCCTCATTTGTGCGAACCTCTCACGCCCCCGTGCCAGGGCTGGCGCCTGATGGGCCCCCGACCCCAGCAGGGTTGCCGTGCCCCCTGCCGGAGGCGCGCACTGAGCCGGAGCCGGAGGCGCTGAGCACCGGATCCGAGGGAGCGAGAAGCCTCCTCCCGGGTGAGTGGCCTCCCGCTCCCCGGTGGCGACGGGGGCGGGGGGGCGGGGAGCCCAGGCCGCCCCGCGCCTGGGGGGCTGCGGGCGGAGTCACCAGGCGACCTGGCTCTGCCACCTCTGCCCCCCCCGCAGGAGGAGAGAGCGAGAGCTCCCGAGAGGGCCGGCCCGGCTGCCCGGAGGCCCCGCCGCCCGCGCGGAGCAAGCCCTACACGTGCGCGCAGTGCGGCCGCACCTTCGACTGGAAGTCGGTGTTCGTCATCCACCGCCGCGCGCACGCGGGCGGCCCGGGCGCCGAGAAGCAGCCGGTGGGGCCGCCCCGGCGCGCGCTCCCGGGCCCGCGCAGCTACGCCTGCGAGGAGTGCGGCCGCAGCTTCAGCTGGAAGTCGCAGCTGGTCATCCACCGCAAGGGCCACGCCGGCCAGCGGCGCCACTTCTGCGGCGACTGCGGCCACAGCTTCGACTGGAAGTCCCAGCTGGTCATCCATCGCAAGAGCCACCGGCCCGAGGCCCCGTGAGCGCAGGAGGGGCGCCTCGCCGGGGCCCCGGGCCCAGCCCGCCCCTGCTACTCCACTCCGCCGCAGCCTGGAGAGCTGGAGGCCGCCCAGGCCAGAAGTCAAGAGTCCCAGGAGGGTCCCCCACCCCCGCTCAGTCTCCCCCCAATGCCGCGGCTCCCTTCTCTCCTGTCTCGCCCACCCCACCTTTCAGAGAGAGAGGCCTGGGCTCCAGTGCACCGACCCAGCGGACCCGCGGCGGCCAGGTGACTTCCAAACCCCTTCCTGTGACATGGTGCAGGCCGGTGCAGAAAGCCCAGGAGAGCACAGCCTGCTTCTGTTTGCAGGCAGGTGGAAGGCTAAAGTCTGTCCACTGTGCGTTTTAGATTTTTAACAAATTCCGGTTTTATCCTGGAGAAGCTTCTGCATAAGAATCCTGATCTCTGGTCTCTGCTGGTCGGATCAGCAGCCTCTGCCCTTCCTGCCCAGCAGTTGGAGCTTCAGAGCTGCCTGCCCACGAGCAGGGCCGGTGTCCGGCTTACCTGTTCCTCGGCCACACACATCACTCCCTGGCCTTGTCCTTCCAGCTGTCGAGTCCCAGCCTGAACGGACATTAAGGGAACTTCTTTCCAAGTATGGATGGACAAGCATGGCATCTGAGAACAGATGTGACTTAGGCCATGCATGCTGGCAGGTGAGTGAGTCACAGAGCAGGAGGGTGGAGGATCAGCTGCCTGCTGCCCATGGCAGTCCGTCTGTGGGCATTCAGGACTTTGGCCAGTGTACTGTACTACTTTCCTACTGTTGCTCTAACGAGCTCGGTGGCTTGAAACAACACAAAACGTACTCTCTTAGGACTCTGAATTGGGTCTCACTGGGCCCAATCAAGGTGTCAGCACGGCTGGTTCCTCCTGAAGGCTCTAAGGGGGGAATCCACTTTAAGGCTTTTTCTAGCTTGTAGAGGCTGCCACGTTCCTCGGTGGTGGCCCCTTCCTCCATCTTCAAAGCCAGCAGTGGATGGTTAAGTCTCATGCTGCCTCCCCCTTGTAAGAACCCTCAGGGTTACATCTACGGCTGCCCTGGTAACCCGTGATGGTCTCCCCATCTCGGGGTCACATCTCATCCATGCCCCACCTACACACCTGATCTCATCTGCAAAATCCCTTCTGCATGTGAGACAACATTCACAGGTTCCAGGGATTAGGACATGGGTGTCTTTGGGGACTGTTATTCCACACCCTTCTCTGTCACCTTTCTGCACTGAAAACAAGGGACATTTTTGTGGGACGTGGTTTCAGGGAAACAGGTACACCCACAGAAGGAGCCCTCTGCAGCCTCAGGCTCATGCAGGGGTGGCAGGTGGGTGCTGAGTGTGGCTGTGACCATGGTTACTAGCAGAGGTGGGGTGGACACCTGGGCTGCGTGGGGAGGACCTTGCTGCAGCCTGAAACTGGGAGGAAGAGGCCTCCATCTGGAGGACCCGTCTCCTCCATGCCCAGTCTTCTGAGGGCCTTTGACCTGTCGACCACACTCAGGCCTGGGGAAGCAGAGCCAGGCTGGAGATGGAACCGGGCACTGGTGATCTTGTTACCAAGTCCCAACTTGTACTGCTGGCCACACCACAGGCCAATAAATTGAGAGCCGAGTTGTTGAGGCGAGGAATAGTGACTTTATTCGGAAAGCCAGCGGACTCGGGACTTCCCTGGCGGCGCAGTAGTAAGAACCCACCTGCCAACCTAGGGGACACGGGTTCGATCCCTGGTCTGGGAAGATCCCACAGGCCGCAGAGCAACTAAGCCCGTGCGCCACAACTACTGAGCCTGCGCTCTAGAGCCCAAGAGCCACAACTACTGAGCCCGCATACCTAGAGCCTGTGCTCCACAACAAGAGAAGCCACCGCAATGAGAAGCCCGCTGCAACAGGAGAGAAAGCCCGCGTGCAGCAACGAAGACCCAACGCAGCCAAAAATTAATTGAAAAAGAAAGTGCTGGGCTTCCCTGGTGGCGCAGTGATTGAGAGTCTGCCTGCCGATGCAGGGGACACGGGTTCGTGCCCTGGTACGGGAAGATCCCACATGCCGCAGAGCGGCTGGGCCCGTGAGCCATGGCCGCTGAGCCTGCGCGTCCGGAGCTTGTGCTCCGCAACGGGAGAGGCCACAACAGTGAGAGGCCCGCGTACCACAAAAAAAAAAAAGAAAATGCTTTTAAAAAAAATAGAAAGCCAGCGGACCAAGAAAGTGGTGCACTCATGCCCCAAAGAACCATCTTGCCTGAGTTAAAATTCAGATTTCTTTCATACTGAAAGGGGAGGGAGTAAAGTGAAACATTTCCTGGCTCAGATCAGCTCCGGGAGGGGATGTGTTCATTTCTTCTCCCTGCAGTCATTCACAGGGGGGCCTGGTCAGGAGGTTTCCTGGGAGCTGAACAAAGGTATTTTAGCTTAACGCCCATTATACCTGGGAGGCAGGGCTCCCAGAAATGGGCCATTTTGTATATTGAAGGTTATAGGCAACATCCCTCCGGTTACTAACTTGTAACAGAATACAAAGGTGCTTCCCTGTTACAATCTGGTTGGCAAGCAGGAAGCTTCATCCATGCCGGGGACACGGCGGAAGAGGACAGAGCAGGGCCCGAGCACTCAGGCCAGGCCGAGGGCCCAACGTCAGGACCGCCAGGTGCTGAGGGAGAGCGGTGGGCTACCTTCTAATGCAATTTTCCATATTTAAAAGTAGTTTATGTTCACTTAGAGAAATCTGAAATATACAAGAGGGCAAAGGAGATCGCAAAAATGATTCCTCATGCTGCTGTCTTATTCTCAGTGTTCATCCGCGGGGGCTTGTGTCACACAGCTTGTGAAACTACTGTGCGTTGTGAATCGTGCTCTTACCACGCAGCTCCCTGTGTTATTAAAAATGCCGGGGTGGAAATCCCGTTTTCTGGCCGGCAGTGTTGTTCCCACCAAGCCCAGATAGTTCCTTGTTTCCCGGCCCCCTTAGCACCCAGTGCTGTGGTGGCCGCACCTGAGCAGACACCCCAGATGCAACCTAGCTGTTTCCTCAAAACAGACACCCCCCAAAGTGGGAGCGGTGAGTTTCTGGGAGCGTGGGATTTCTGTTCTTGTTTTTTCCTTTTTCTTTTTGTCTTAAAACAAAACATTATTTTATAGTTCTGGAGGTCAGGGGTCAGGCACAGTCTCACTAAGCTAAGTTCCAGGTGTGGCAGGGTTGAGTGCCTTCTGTGAACTCTGGGAGAACCCATCCCGTGTGCTCGACTTTTCCACCCTAGAGATGGCCTGCGAGCCGGGCTCGCGGCCCTTCCCCACCTTCTGAGCCAGCGGTGGCCAGTCGGCTCTCTCCCACAGGGCGTCACCCTGCCACTGTCCTCTGCCTCCCCTTCCACCTCTGAGGGTCCTCGTGGTGACGTTGGGCCCACCCGGATCATCCAGAACATTTTTTTTTTTTTTTTTGGCTGCATTGGGTCTTCGTTGCTGTGCGCGGGCTTCCTCTAGTTGCGGTGAGCGGGGCCTGCTCTTCGTTGCGGTGCACGGACTTCTCACTGCGGTGGCTTCTCTTGTTGTGGAGCACGGGCTCTAGGCACACGGGCTTCAGTAGTTGTGGCACACGGGCTCAGTAGTTGTGGTGCGCGAGCTTAGTTGCTCTGCGGCATGTGAGATCTTCCCAGACCAGGGATCGAACCCGTGTCCCCTGCATTGGCAGGCGGATTCTCAACCACTGCGCCACCAGGGAAGCCCTGGGCCATGGGATTTTTAAATTCTCATGGATACGTCAGTGTCTTCCGGAAACGTGGGGCCCGCCTGTCTGCCTTCCCTCCAGAAGGGCTCCCTGGCAGCTAGAACGCCCTGGTCTCCCGTTCTCTACCGTCTTCTCCATCCTGCAGGCAGAACCCAAGTGCACTGTTTCTCCATGGATGCCAGGCAGGCTGCACCCTCCTCCCCACAGCCGCTCACGTGGGTTTCCTCTCCCATGAATGCACGGTGTGGGCCACACCGTTGGTCACATCTTCATGCATCTGATCTGACTTTTGAGTTTTCACGTAGTCAGATCCATCACGGTCCTCATCTTCTGTGGCTTTTTTGTTGTCGTTGTTAAATATTTCTTTCTTTGGCTGTGCCGGGTCTTTTTTTTTTTTTTTTTTTTTTTTTGGTTGCCCCAGGTCTTAGTTGCGTCAGGTGGGCTCCTTAGTTGCGGCATGCAAACTCTTAGTTGCAGCATGCATGTGGGATCTAGTTCTCTGACCAGGGATCGAAGCCGGGATCGAACCCTGCACTGGGAGCGCAGTCTTAACCACTGTGCCACCAGGGAAGTCCCTTCCCTCGCTTTTCTTAGACTGCTTGCCCCAGCCAGCTCAGCAGCATGGTCAGCCTGCAGGGCAGCTTCCAGAATCTACCTCTTCACGTTAGAAACCGGGCCAGGCCACCCCTCCCGTGGCACCCCCTCACCCCTGCCATCCCCTGGGCTGTCTCTGGGCTGAGGCTGCAGGAGGTGTCTTCCTGCCCAGTTCCAGCTGCTCGCCCCCCACCCCCAGTCTCCTCTGATCCTCACGACCACCCCAAGCGCCCCTCCTCCTCGCCTGGGTCTCCCTCCAGCCCCTTCTCCTTCCTCGGCCGCTGCTCCTGAGGTCAGCCTACTTGAGGTGACCCAGTGATTGGCAGAGCCAAAATCTGACGCGGGTCCGTCTGACTGTGGAAGCATCTGTGGATGTGGGGAAAGGCTAAAAGCAAAGCCCGATTCTAGGTGCCTCCCTAACTCCTGAAACCAGGAGAGCCCCAAGGGCAGGTAGCAAGTCCCCCCTCCCTCCCTCCGCTACTCCTGCAGTAACAGCCCCAAGTCACACAGCCCTCCTCATCAAATGGCTCATCCTGCCAAGCCTGCAGAATTATTCCAGAAAGCCAGTCACACATCCTGCAGCAGGGGCCAGGGGCCACCCAAGAGCACGTGACCCTGTGTGGTGTGAGGTGCTCTCCTCCACAGGCTGTGAGCTCATCTACACGTGTTGTGCGTGCAGCCACTTCCCATAGCCCTAGGGCTGGTTGAACAGAAAATGATTGAAACAGTGGCCCCCCACGCACTTATGGTCAATAACCTATGACAGAGGCGGCAAGGATATACAATGGAGAAAAGACAGCCTCTTCGGTAAGTGGTGCTGGGAAAACTGGACAGCTACATGTAAAAGAATGAAATCAGAACACTCCATAACACGATACACAAAAATAAACTCAAAATGGATTAGAGACCTAAATGTAAGGCCGGACACTATAAAACTCTTAGACGAAAGCATAGGAAGAACACTCTTTGACATAAATCACAACAAGATCTTTTTTGATCCACCTCCTAGAGAAATGGAAATAAAAATACATTTTTAAATGGGACCTAATGAAACTTAAAAGCTTTTGCACAGCAAAGGAAACTATGCACAAGACAAAAAGACAACCCTCAGAATGGGAGAAAATGTTTGCAAATGAAGCAACTGACAAAGGATTAATCTCCAAGATTTACAAGCAGCTCATGCAGCTCAATAACAAAAAAACAAACAACCCAATCCAAAAATGGGCAGAAGGCTTAAATAGACATTTCTCCAAGGAAGACATACAGATGGCCAAGAAGCACATGAAAAGCTGCCCAACATCACTAATTATTAGAGAAATGCAGATCAAAACTACAATGAGGTATCACCTCACACCTGTTAGAACGGGCATCATCAGAAAATCTAGAAACAACAAATGCTGGAGAGGGTGTGGAGAAAAGGAACCCTCTTGCACTGTTGGTGGGAATGATTGATACAGCCACTATGGAGAACAGTATGGAGCTTCCTTAAAAAACTAAAAATAGAACTATCATATGAGCCAGCAATCCCACTACTGGACATATACCCAGAGGAAACCATAATTCAACAAGACACATGCACCCCAATGTTCATTGCAGCACTATTTACAATAGCCAGGTCATGGAAGCAACCTAAATGCCCATCAACAGATGAATGGATAAAGAAGATGTGGTACATATATACAATGGAATATTACTCAGCCATAAAAAGGAACAAAATTGGATCATTTGCAGAGACGTGGATGGATCTAGAGACTGTCATACAGAGTGAAGTAAGTAAGAAAGAGAAAAACATATCATATATTAACGCATATATGTGGTACCTAGAAAAATGGTACAGATGAACTGGTTTTCAGGGCAGAAATAGAGACACAGATGTAGAAAAAAAAAGTATGGACACCAAGGGGGGAAAGTGGTGGGGGGGGTGGTTGTGGGATGAACTGGGCGATTGGGATTGACATGTATACACTAATATGTATAAAATAGATAACTAATAAGAACCTGCTGTCTAAAAAAAAATAATAAAATAAAATTCAAAAAAAAAATTTTTAAAGGAAAAAAAAAAAAGTGGGCCCCCTCGGGTGCCCACTGCCCACTGTGGGAGCCATGGTACTAGATGAAGACGCTCCAGAGTTGGGTGGGGCACCACACCCCAAAGCTGCTGAGCAAGGCTGAAGCAGGGCGAGGAGAGCAGGCCTTTGAAGGGAGGCCACAGGCTCACCATCAAGACAGGTAATAGCTTCATATTCTACAAAATAAAAATGAATGCAAACATCATAAAATGTTACATTTCAGTGTAGAGATTTTTCACAGCTTTATGGAGATATTCACATACCATGCAATTCACCCCTTGAAGGTATACAA